CAATGCCCATAGACTTTTACATGAATACTTCATCTTATCTCAATTTTCTCTTTTCTTTTTTTTTTTTACATGACCATTCTTATTAATGAGCAGTGGGCTAATACTGTACCAGTATACTTAAAGCTGCATTAACTAAGATTTGGCACAAATATGGATAAATTAAATAAGAAATGAAGTGTTTTCTCCCTGCTGTACTAAACCCCCCCACCCCACTCTGCTACCTTCAGGCCCTGTGTTTATTTCTACTCCTCTCTGAGCAGTGTTAAAATCTGCACTGCACCTCTTCCACGTCTCTGCTGATCCGAGGTTATAAGATGCATTTTTCAAACCAGTATGCCTCATTTCAAAGACAAACTGTGGAGACTCCCTGTGCTGGTACAGCCCAGGATGGGAGCGGCCTGTTAGACCCAAGAAGAGGTCGCGTTCTGTAGCACAGAAAGACTGACAATTTTTTACTTGATTTATCCCAGTTTGTGCAGTTAATGCAGCTTTAATGCCAAGTTATGAGTAGATCTATAGCTACTGGGGCGTTGTGCTGGGCAAAAGGTCTCAGAATACCAAAAAGAAATTACCACAGTGATCCTCAGGGGTCTCCTTAGATTACAAACTTAAATAGAACAAACTAACCTGTGTCACAAAGTTGCCCAGTGTAGCCACTCTCACAGTGACAGTAGGCATCTCCTGTGTCTGAGATCTGGCAGCGACCATGTTTGCAGGACAGGCGACGGCAGGGGTTGAACAGCTCCCCATGCTGGTTACACAGTGCACCACGATAGCCTTCCATGCACTCGCAGCGGTACGACTGAGCGTCCAGTGGGATGCACTTTCCATGGACGCACCTAATAAGAGAGAACTTTGATCAAATGAGCGCTTTCAAAACATTTTGCCCTGTGATACTTACATACTTTCAGATGGATACCACCAAAGAAGCATTCTTTAAAATGCATAGGTGATTGAAAAGTCAAATAAAGTCATGTAAATGTGTGTAGCAGAACTTAGATTTTTTATTTTTTCTTAATCCATTAATCAGCTCATGATTCCTCATATTTATCTTGTGACCCCTTGGAGGGGGTCCAACCCTAGATTGGGAGCCATTGGACTAAGGTATTTAAGGTAAGTAAAATGGTCCTTTCACAAAGTTTAATCAGTATTAATGTCATTTATACATCGCTCACTTTATTACTTTTACTTTTGATACTTTAAGCACATTTTGCTGATAATACTTGTTACTGCACCTGACTTTTAGTAAGTTACTTTGGTAGGATTCTGAATGTAGGACTTCCACTTCTAATAGCTTATCTTAACGTTGTTGTTTTGGTGCTTTTACTTAAGTACTGGATTTGATTTGTATTGATGTTTATGAGAAAACAATGGGATCTTTGCTACGTAATACACTCGCTAGCCACTTTATTACCCCTGTACAATTGTATGCAATTCAATGCAACACTTCCACCTTAACATCTGTGCTAATGAAGCTCAAAATTTTTGTTTTTGGTGAAACTGTCATAAATGTATAAATTATAATGTTGTCCAGTGCAACACCACCTTTAACTATGTCCTCAATAATAAACATAATAGAATTTATACATTGACAACGTCACCAAAAACTGAAACATTTTGAACTTTATAAACACAGATGTTAAGGTGGAAATGTTGCATTGAATTGCGTACAGGTGTACCTAATAATGTGCTTAGTGAGTGTAAATTCTATTCCATTTATCAACGTACTTGCTTCCATGGCAGGGGCTGTTAGTAGGTTGGTCACAGTGTGGCCCGCTCCAGCCTGGCTGGCAGTGACACACTGGGCCCTGGACCCCATCGGGCTGGCAGATGCCATGCAGGCAGTAGATCTTCTTGCAGGGCTCACAGCCCGGTACCACACCAGGCTTCATCTGGGTTTTGGTGAAGTCCTGGAGCTCATTGTTGATGTACAGATTCTGGATACAGCCATGGAAACTGGAACCGTTCTGGATCTGCCAGAGACGGAAGGTGCCCGAGTGTACATCCACTGGCATGCCTGGAGGAAGAGGCAGAAAACACAATTGTTTATATGTGTGAAGACAGGCAAAGTGGGACACAGACAGACAGCTAACATGGGGCTCGTATGAGTGTAATGGAGGAAGGAATTTTCAAACATGTGTGTCCCAGTAGTCAATATGCAATTTGTCAGATTAATGTATGCAACTGTTTTTTCAAGACAACTGATAGTTTGCATTTGAAGCAGAGGACACATCATCTTTGAAAGAGAGGACAACAAGAGGCAGTGTGGTATGGGAAAATGTCTCCTGTAGTGTTAGATGAATGACAAACTGTACTAATCCTGAGCAACTCCTGAACAACCTGCCACATCGGGTCTAAGGCTGCATAGCGACAAACGTGAGAAAGGCTTTCTTTTGTTGTCAGTCAGCTACATCACACGCTACAAATACATACAGTCACATTTTGTGCAAGCAAAATCCATGCAAATACAAAACAAATCTAAAGACTGTGTCTGGTAGTTCTTAGGCAGATCACTAGAGGGCACACTGTACACAATGTAAAAAAAGTTTGATAACAACAATAGATCTGTTGGGTTGTGATGATGGTGTATTATATGATCGGTCATTTTTGAGAGCTATGTTTTATCTGTTTATCTCCCCAAGTTATAATTAGTTATTTGTTCATTACAAATGTGTGTATATGGCATACTGGTGGGTCTGTGCTTATTTTTTGCACTTTGTATTGTGTGGCCCCTAGCAAACACAGTCATGACTGAAGGTGGGTATGGTATGGGCGGAGGAGAGGGTTTGGTATTAGGGTGAAGGTGGGACAGGGTTGCAGGGTTAAGGGGAGGAGCTGGTTGCAGTGGTGACAAAGTGAAGGGGAGGGGAGGTGATTAACAGTAGCATAGTAGATAAGAGTGCCTGCAGAGGAGGGAGGTGTGTTCTGGAGAGGGCCCCTACCCCCCACGTATAGCGGAGCCTCCCCGTTGAGGGGCCGCACCGCCCCAAAGCTGTCCATTGTGGTAGGGAGACCCCCGTCAATGGACAGGTTAACCATCTGGTCGAAGGTCACCAGCTCCACTGTGTGGAACTGGCCGTCGTTGATAGTCTCCGTACTGGCAAAGGAAAATGTAAAAATAAAGTGACTATAGTGTGGAGTCAGCCAACAGTTGAGCTTTTCAAAGGGTACATGGCACCTTACCTGTAGATGGCATGTCCTGGCTGGCTGCCAGGGTCATAGCTGACCTTCACATGACCTTGGAAGAGCTCGACTGCAATATGGTCATTGTCTCCATTGTATAGCAGGATACCATTATCTTCAGCTGTTGACACCTAGAGAGAAAATTTTTGCATTGGGCCTTCAACCATCAGAAAGGGAGAAATGTGTTAATGGTTCACCCATCAGCACACTGTGAGTACCTGTAGAGTGATGTTAGCTTGTGGCCAGTTCTTCAGGTCAGAGAGCAGTAGATAGGAGTCTCTGTCAATAAAGTTGACGCTGACTAGCTTCTCACAGTGTGGGCCCCCGAACTCTGGAGGACACTGGCAGAGGGCACGCCCTCCTCGCTCAACACACGGAGCATTGTTCTGACAGTCAGTCAGCTCACACAGGGACACTGCAGGTGGGGGAATCTCACACAACTGACCACTGTAACAGGAAATGAAAGGTTTTATTTTGGGGAGGGATGTTAATAAGCAGAGGAAACTAAGTCAAAATAATAGCCTGGGCATGTTAAATGTGTGCTCTTCTCACCTGTATCCCTCAGGACAGATGCAGGAGTATCCATTTAACTCATCCACACACTGAGCTCCATACTGACAGCGATGATCCACACAGTCATTATAATCTACACTGCAGTCATCACCAACATAACCAGGAGAACACATACACCTGCAAGTCACAAAAACAATAGTGGAATCAAGCAGAATATGGACACAGCTACCTCCCTGTGTTTACTGTATATAACATATTTTACAATATATAACGTCATCATTTACTGATGTATTGGATGTCACTGGTCACTTACCGGGGTCCAGTTGCAGTGATGAGGCAGGTAGACTGATGTTGACAGGGGTTCCGTCCTGGGGCACACACATCCTCGATTTCTTCACACATCTCGCCTACATAGAAACAAGTATCAAAATTTTACACATAGCATGAATCACAAAAGCAGTAAAACAATGAAGTCATGCAATAAATTTGTATTAAAGCATGACCAGTCTGATATTTTTTATGCAAGATGATACTGTCAAGCACAATTTGTATTACTGGACTCAAATATTCCGTCAGTTTAACTAGTTGTAGCCAGAATCAGACCGGTTTTAAGAATAATCTCATGAATTCCTAACTGTGTTTAGCTAATCAGCTAATTGGTTTTATTATATTTTGTAGTGGCTTGATTTTTGAGTTTGTTTCATGAAATCTATCCACTGGCAATTTTTTGTGTTTTTTTTTTATATATACCCACAAATTCTTCTATATTACAAAATTGTTTGCTTGTTTATACAAGAATATTTTTTGCAGTGTACATTCTTGAGTCAAATGTAAGTCAAGCTGTGCTCTGCACACTAACCTGTGTAATAAGGGGGACAAAAACAAGTGTAGTTGTTGACTCCATCGATGCAGGTTGCTCCATTCTCACAGTCATTGTCTTCGCAGTCGTCGATGTTGATTTGGCAAGTGGAGCCCTCGAAGCCCAGTGGACATGTGCAACTGTGAAAAGATACACACTCATTATGCCTTGTTGAGTTCTTTATGAAATAAATAAGATTGAATTCATTTGTCTCACTAATTTCAATGCTGGTTTTCCTCACCTGAATTCTCCATCTTCATCCTCATTCACTTGGCAGGTTCCTCCATTAGCACATGGGTTACTCACGCAGGCATTCAGAGCCGTCTCACAGTTCTTGCCCTGAGACAGCGCAGACATAATGTTCATTTTAATGAGCCACAACACACTAAAGTACATTTAAGTCTATATTCACAGATACTGCAGGTGGCAGCATTGCGTAGCTCTGACCTTGAATCCTGGAGGACAGCTGCACCTGTAGATCTCCACCAGGTCGCTGTGACAGATGCCTTGGTTCAGGCAGGGACTGGACAGACAGGGGTTACACTTGGCCAGCACCTCAGCATCCACATCTCCTAGATAAGAATGAGTTGCATGTAGAAACTAATACTATTTATGATATATTTCTGTGTCCAATGCAGTAACTCACCTGTACATTCAAACTTCTTTGCAGGTGTGGTGAGCAGCAGTTTCCCTTCCAAGCCCTGTGGGCCAGCACAGCGGGCGATGCCAGGCTCTTTGTAACCAGTCTTCACCCAGTCTGACAGCCAGCGCAGGTGACAGTCACAATACAGAGGGTTGGCACCAATTGCCCTGAAAGAGCAGAGAAAACTTGTGTTGTTTTATCTCATTTAGTCTGGTGATGTCACTGTAGTGCATTCCTTCCCCAGCAGGTGTCTCTAGACCCTCATATAAAACAAACTATGACAAACTCAACTCTGTACTATCCAACTAAAAACCCTGAATAAAACCGATTTAAAGCTGCATGCTCAATGTCACTTTGTACCGTACATCATCTGGAGGAAGGCTTCTCAATTATAGAGAAAGGTGTGAACAGAAGGTGTTCTTAACCACTTCTGTCATGATGGTCATGAATCAATGCCGCTCCGTCCTTCTACTGGATGCACAAACACGCCTGAATCAATGCTGTTCCATTACGGTGGAACACAGGCTCATCTTTCAGGCCGGGCCAATAGCTGACACCTGACATCTGCTAACATGAAAGCCAGTTGACTGTGACTGCGGATCAATGGCTCCCCTCCATCTCTCCCCTCACCCTGTTTTCATGCAGCCTTGACTCGTGTACAGCTTTCCATAAAATGTCTTTTTTTTTTTAGTCCTCTCTATCCGCCCTTCTTCTTCTCCAACTGACACTGATAGCTCTATTGATCAGTGACTGTCAGGGGATGATGTGAATATCTAAGTGGGATGGCAGAGGGCACACAGTAAAAATACACCACACACCCGACGGACACACAGGATTACAGACAGAAATAAACAAATAAAAAACACTAATGTCTACAGACCAAGGAGAATCTGTATGTGCGTTTAAGCAAACATGGATGTGTGTGCGCTTTGGAGATGAGACAGTAGAGGGTTCTGTGTTTTGAATGACCACAGGAGTGTGGCTGATTATGGGGGGGTGGAGTTTGGCTCACGTGGAGCCCACCAAAGGAGACTACAGACAGGCCACTGTGAGCTGCATGCTTCAGCTGTCTGACCAGACCCCCTCTGTGCCTTAAAGAATGTATGTGTGTGTGTGTGTGTGTGGGTACATGTGTGTAGACTTCACAAACTCAGTGGTAAGTGCAGATGGTATCACATAAGCTGCCACTGGGGCATACGGTTGTGTGTGTGTCACAACTTACAAGTGGGAAAGCGAGGACACATCGTTGAAGATGCCATCAGGGAGCTCTGAGATTTCGTTGCCATGGAGAGACCTTAGGGGTGATGAAAGGAAAGACAAAAGAAAAAAAAAATGACCATGGACATATTTCATCACAGGAAATAACTGCTATGTTGGCCAACTGTTTAGTTACACTGTTAAAGTACACAATGAGCACAATAGAGCAAATATTTGTTCATCCCAGCTTCTTGAACTGGAAGATTTGTTGAATCTTAGACTCCTATGGGGCGGCAATGGTTAGCACTGTCGTCTCACAGCAAGAAGGCTCTGAGTTTGAACCTGGTGGCTGACTGGGGCCTTTCTGTGTGGAATTTGCATGTTCTTCCCATGCCTGTGTGGGTTTTACTATGGCTTCCTCCCACAGATTAATTGGCAAATATACATTTTCATTTTCTCTGTGTGTGATTAGCTGTTTGTCTTTATGTGTCAGCCTTGTGATAGACTGGCAACTTGTCCAGGATGGATGGTGGATAGTCTCCTGTGAAAGAATATGGACAATTTGGGGTTTTGAATAGAGAAAATGAGCAGTGTCGAAATGTGATCTTGGGAAACTATCATCACTATTTTGCACATATTCTCTGGCATTTTATAGACAAAACCATCAGGGGGAAAAAGGCAAGCTGCAGCCCTACACGCTGCATCTCATTTTTTGAAAAATAGCAGTAAATAGGTTGAGGGACATTTCATTGTTGTGCTGTCAGTCTAAATGGGCAGTAGCTGGTTTGTATTTCTGGTTGAGCCTTGTGCCGCTGGCAAAGATGTGAGGCACTGTTAGTCTAGCAAAGAGTGGTGTCAAATTTCTGGCTGGCAGGGCCAACAAGGGTACTGATGGGGGGGGCGGGGGTGCAGAATTGCACCATATGCAGGACAGTGAAAACAGTGCAGTTAGCACATGTGAATATTTGGCCACATGCATGAATATTAATATTGTTTGAGTAGACTATTTTATATATACCATGTTTCTTATGTTCTCTGCCTACTGTCAAGGTTGGCCAGCATGGCTTAATGACTTTATGACTGATGGCTGCTGTAATCCACCAGGTCATTACCACCTCCAGCCATCGGCTGACTTCATGCTAATGTTACACAGCTCTGTCCAAAGAACCAGTGTGATGAACACGTGATGAACAGAGGTGATGTATGAAACCTCACAATCTCTAAATTATCACTAAGCTGCGAAAGGATCCAGTGAGTGAAGCTGGACTCTGTTAAGCGTTCAGAGCTCAAGTAAAAAAGGGAAAATATACAATATAACCATCTGAGACAACAAGCCAATTGGTTTGTGTGCAGGGGAGAATGCTTATAAGTGCAACAGAATGAGTAGTTTGGTTGTGGTAGTCAAAGAACAGTTAGGCTGCTGAGGGCATGGGGCCAGCAGTGGTGTGCCAGCCAGGTAAACGTCTCATGGGAAAAAGGAGCCAGGTTGTCTCTAGGAAGAAACATGATCTGGCCTTTTACCAACATTCTTTGTCCGTCTTTGTCTTTTTACATTTTTTCCTACAGCTGTGTATCTTTACATCACTCCATCTTACATATGTCAACTTATCTCTAGCATGACGCAGCTGCCACCATGGAATTACATTTGATGTTTCTGGACAGAGAAATGATGGTTTATGACTAAATCAAACACACAGGCTGTCCAAGCAACCTTCTGAACTGTGAACATTTTCACCTGCAACCATGTACTAATACTAAATGATTCCGTGAGTCTTCTGTTTTTGCTTTAGCTCTTGTTTTGAGGATCTTGCAATACTGGCATTTTCTCACAGCACTGTCCAACAGAAGTTGGAGAAAATCTGTTTTCATTTCATTTGTTGTAGGCTTTACTTTCTTTTCTGTTCTTTTCCTTTATCACACTCAAAGCCCTGGTGGGTTACGCCCTGGCACTGTCTCGGCTCATTCACCTCACACCTAATACCCAGCAGGCCAATTAGCAGCTTATTAATCTGCATTTCAAATCGTAACCATCATACGCACACAGATGTACACTTACACCATTTCACATCCATGCAATGCTCAAATCCCCGGTCTGTGTGAAGCCCTGAGCATTAATGATTCCTCTCTGTAAAGCCAAAGGTGCAGCATTATAAAGACTTTGGCACCTCAGTGTATGAATATGAGCGTTGCCCCTTGTAGCTAGCTTGACATCTCACTGTGGTTTTTGACAAGCTTCCAACTTTGAATCTAGTGTGGAGTCTTAAACTGAAAACTATTAAATGGAGCTCACTGTCACTTCAGTTTAGTTGCACCCCCGCAGCCACGGTACCAATTGACCTCTAATGGAAGGCTTATGATTGATCACACCAGCAGTACAGATATCAAAGGTTCTTTTTTTTTGTTGCTTCATTTGGTCTCCTGTCTAACTGAGACAATAAGGTAGTCCAGACAGTCTGTGCGTATATGTGAACTTGTATATAGTTTTAAGCCTGAATGGTGTTTGTGGTGTTGGGGGAGTGCCTCACTTGGCATCAAGCACAGTTACACGAGAAATATCTTAGAAGTAAAGGTGGCGTGAGTGAGTAAGAGCAGAACGGATGCAGCTTCATTAGAGATCAAAGTAATGCGCCTGAGCTAGTGAGGTGGTGTCAGCTAATGATGACCGAGCTTCATTCTCATACCACAATAAAAAGGGGCCCTTACGCTGCATGTCTCATAATGATTGGGGGCTTTAGTCAGATCCTGCTGTAAAAAGAGGCTTTGTTGAAGCTTTGTTTTCAGTAGTAAAAAAGTGTGCCTGCTAGGAGCACACATGCAAGACTGATGTCTACTCCCACACACATACCAACAGGCACCAAGCCTGTAAATGACAAACATGTAGTCTATGCATACAAGCAGTAACACACACACACGCATATACACAATCATATGCAAAAATAATCGTATAAGGGGTGCTGCAGGGTCTGGTCTCTGTTTCTCCCTCACAGAATTAAACTGTACATTTGAGTTAAAGCGTGGGGCATCCAGCTGCTGTAGCTTTGATGCAGGTCCAAAGATTGGTTTGGTTTCGTCATCTATCTGTCGAGCGTATTTACATTCTACATCTCAGTTATTTCGCAGACTTTTTAATCCACAAGGAGCACACGGTCACTGAGAGTGCACAGTCAAAGACTTCATAACTTCATAAAAGCCGGGCGGCAGTGTCAAAACCATTACACTTAGCAGGGCAAACTTTTTCTGGTAATCAGTGTCAGAGTCATTCTGTACAGTGGACTTGTGGGGGCACGTGTCTGGCCCTGATGGTAAGGTAGTGATCAGCTCAGGGCATTTAGATGTCAAGTGACAGGCTGGGCAGATGTCTGAAGATGAGATGTGGGCAGGAAGCAGTGCTGCAGCCCCCATTGCTGCCATTTAAACAGAGAAGTGGGTCAGAGGTTGTGTGCATGTGCAAATTCATAGGTCATAACTGTTTAAATTGTGTTTCAGTCCTCTGGAGTCAACCAAAGATTCTGAGCGTGCACTGTTTCTGTAGTTGGTGCAAGATGCAAAAATATCCTTAATAACTCACTGAAATGAGTCCTATCTTGTTTTAGAACTTTTCTTTCAAAATAACTTCAATCCAATAAAGCTGCTGTTTTGATCACTGCCTAAAATTATCTGACAAAAAAGAAACATTTAATTTGCATGAGAAAAAAAACAACCAATGTTTTACCAATGGATTTCAAGATTTTACTCTAGACAGTCATTTTAAGATGAGCACACACACACATAATACAATCATAAGAAAAAGTAATAGAACTATTTGCAATTTCCTGGTTTTCTGCATAAATTGGTCATGAAATGTGATCTGATCTTAACAACTGGTTGAACCACCTTAACCAGTTATTAAAACACTGTTGCCATTACTTTTTCCACCTTCACTTTGTATAATTAATCGTTGTGGTCAATAAAGACATGAACGATCGTGACTGTTTTTTATCAGCTTAAAATATTGTGTTTGTTGACATTTGTGACTTTGGTGAAGATCAGATTGTGTTTCGTGACCAATTTATGCAGAAAAACCAGGAAAACGCAAACATTGCCATGACTTTTTCTTGCGACTGTAAATGTATAATACAGTATGTATGTATTTAAAATGTAAAAATAAACTCACAGCAGACGGAGAGAGTGCAGTCCACTAAAGGCCATTTTTGGAATACAACGCAAGGAGTTGTAGCTCAGGATTCTGCAATGTAAAAATAATTATATGTGGATGTATATACAGTAACATTCAGCTGTTTCCATTTTACTCTGAGGACAAGAAAGAAATACTAGCTCTTTGGTCTGAGGGGCTGAGGCTAGTCGAGACTTACAGAGTAGTGAGCTGGCTCATGTTAGCAAAAGATGAATTGGTCAGGGAGTTGATCTTGTTGTTGCTAAGGTCTCTGAAAAGAAAACAAAAAAAACATTAAGTTTTACTAAGCTGACAACTTTTTCTATATCTGTGCAGTGAGACAGGCAGTAGACAGACATAAACTTACACCAGCTGCAAGTATTTGAAGGAAGACAATTCTTTTGGCACAACACTGAACTGGTTTCCATCCAGATACCTGAAGAAAGAAAAACACACAGACCAGTAAAGAGCCAGTAAATCTAAATGTTCCATTCAGGTCAAGATATAATGTGTATCCTGAAACAATCTTCAAAATAAAACATTAAGCCCATTACAAACAACTACAACCAACTAATAGTAAATCCGACCACAGTTGTGTCCAACCTTTCAACAACCTCTTTCTTGTTCAAGTACTTGATTTTATATTCTGAACCACTGTCATATCTTCTTTGAGAAACTTTAATGTAGGAATGCACCTAGTATTACTATAAATACTGCAGCTACACTTGTCAGAAAGAAGATGTCTCATATGCAACAAAGTTAGTGCAAACCACAACTGTTTCAAATTAAAAGTCTTTCTGAAACTTATGGCTTTTACTGGGAAGGTACAGCAGGAAATATTGAATTATTTGATGAGACATTTTCTAATTGAGCAGTTTAGTAAAGACATATACTGGGTTATATATGATTTCTACTGGGCATGAATCACTGGGCAAAGATGGCATACATGTTACATTCAGGACATTTTTGTTATTTCCTGTTCTGCAGCACTTCCTGAATGACCCAGCATGACTGAAATGACTGATACACTTGTGTGTGAACTCATGCACGTGTATGTAGAAGCTACTGCAGTTGACATTATGCCTGCAGGGATGCAACCACCCTGCTGACTATTGTTGATGACTGCACTAAGGGCAAGAAGGGGAGCAGAGTGGGTGCTGGTTAGTTACGGTGTGCGTGGGATTTGGTGGGGAGGCTTAGGTATGAGGTAATGATGGTGCAAGGGACACTTGGGATAATGATGGTGACTACATGAAAGCCCGGAACAGAGGGGCACATCTGGTCACACCTGCTGGGACAATGACAGGCTTTAAGGCTTGCACAGCATGTGTGTGCATGTGTGTGTGTGTTTATCAGTCTGAACCACTTGAAGCAGTATTGGAAAGTTCCAGACCCATTCCCTTCCCTCCCCTTTCCATTGAAAACTGCTCATTAAAATGTCCTTTTGCTCCCCTATGCTCCTGTGGACAGGCTTTTGGCCCTCACACAAATATGCACACACACAGTCTGATCCTTGGCTCTGAGTGAGAGAGTGACATCAGTGCTTGCCCTGAGGTCTACAGGGAACACAAAAGAAAAATGTCTGAGAGAATAACTGCAGGATTTATGACTCCTTTCCTCTTCTCCAAATACTGAGATCTGTTTTCTTTGCCTATAGTGTTTTCACTAACTCTTATCTCTTTAACACCTCCTCAACTGCTGTCTACCTTTTAATATGGTCTCCTTTGGCTTCCTTCCCAGTCCTGCTTTCATCAAAGTCAGACAATAATAAAATAATACCTGGAACTCAAATTGATAAGATAAACATGCAATTAGCATAACTAATGCCAAGGAACTTACAGTTCAGTCACATTTCTGGGGATGCCTTTGGGCAGTGTGTGGAGGTGCTTGTTGCTGCAGCGCACCACAGTCTCCAGGCAGGTGCATTCATTAGGACACTGGGGTCTGGGTACACAGCTCGACTCCTCTTGGCCTGGTAAAAAGAGGACAGAGGGGAGTCAGATACCAGAGAGGAGGAATGACCAGGAGGATCAGAAAGTATTAAAAGCATATAGAAAGACAGAACAAGCCTAATGGCAAGACAGTGCACAAACAGAAAAATCCTGCAAGCTGATGGTGAGGCACTGAGACAATGAAAAAAGAGGAACAGAAAAATGAAAAGTAAAATGGGACAGAAAGAACGAGAGGGCCCTTGCTAATGTAATATCGACCAGCAAGAGCAAAGAATGGAAGCTGCCTGAGGCCTGAAGACAAGTCTAACATCTATTCAGGTGCAAATAAGCCGACTGGTCAATAAGGCAAACAGCTCAATAGCTCCACTCAGCCCGCCATCGACAAGCAACTTAGGAACTGCTGAGTAGCAATCTATTCAGCAGACAAAAGAGTCACACAATAGCAGTCCGTTTTATTTAAGATGATCTTTAAGCAGCTCTTATTCATAACATACTGCTTAAAATCTTCATCAGCCAGAGCCAGACAGGTTACTTTCACACATAGTGGAGGTAATCTGCTATAGTTAAGATATTTATCTCCATTCAAAGAGACAGATTTAAAGTAGAAAAGCTGCAGCAAAACTTCAAAATCAAAATAATAATATGTAGTTGTGTGTCTTGGTACCACCCACCCTCCTCACAGCGGAAGTCAGGCAGAGCTACATCCTGCAGAGGGATCTCTTTCAGGAAGGCAGGACGCTGACAGCGAGGGTTACCTGTCACAATTTTCCTACTCCTCAGCCAATCACCAAGCCAGGACAGCCGGCAGTCACAGTTGAAAGAGTTGGCTAAGAGGTTGCTGGGAGAAGGTGAGCATAAGAGAGGTTGTAAGAGCACTGACATGTGAAATGCACAACAGAAGGTAGGCAGGCATGTGTGTATGCCAGGGTCTCACAGGGTGGAGAGGGTCTGCAGAGTGTCAAAGGCTCCAGGACTGATTGTGGTCAGCTGGTTGTCATACAGAGACAGCAGGCGGACATTGTGCAGCCCGGTGAAACTGTTGTTGTGGACACAGCTGATCTTGTTGTTCCTCAGCATCCTAAAGAGAAAGAAATAAAATACTGCTAAAACTCTGAAACCTTTCCTTGCATTTTGAAAGCATGAACACACCTGAGTGCGTGATTGTTTGATGTTTCTGTATCACTCACAGCATACGCAGGCCATCAAGGCCACGGAACATGTCACTTCGGACTGTGTCAATTTGATTGGCTGTAAGGTGAAGTTCATTGACTGACGATGCACCTTCAAAAGCCCCGTCCTCAATCTCTGTGATCTTATTGTTGCTGAGGTTACTGTGGGAAATAAAGGCACGTCAGACAATAAAATATAACATTATTATGAAATCTAATGCTAAAAAAATCGAATCAAAATTTCACCTACATTTTCTTCAGCTGGGAAAGGTTCTTAAAAACTCCCGTTGCCTCCAGAGTGGTGATCTCATTGTTGTTAAGGCGGCTAGAGAGAAAAGTTGAAAAGGTTGAACCATACAAACAAAGAAGTCCATTCAAATGTAAAGTTCTCTTTAAATATTCAATGCTTGGTCCACAACTTTCTATTTCTTTCTAATCAAATTCAAAGGATCCCGTCATCACTCTTGCTTAGCACTCTATATTATTCTGTTAGCAACAAATAGGTTTTTCCCTTGTTTCTTACAGTTCGGTGGTGGATGCAGGGATATGCTCAGGGATCTTGGTGAGCTTCAGGTTGGAGCAGTCCACTACGCTGGATTCACAGCGACACTTGGGAGGACACACTGGATCACTGTTACAGGCATTATTCAGACGCGTGTCCTCTGTGCCTGGACAAAAGAAAATTCAAACACACACACTATTCATATAACAAAAAAATGACATCAGGCCTTTCCCTGTTCCTATAACACAGATGTCTGACATTCCTGTGATGCTTTTAGTCACACATCTGCTCCCATCTGTATGTCAGTCGTTTGCGCCGGTGTGTGCAGCTTCCCTAACTTCCCTAACTTCCCTAACTTCCCTAAAGAACATCCTGCAGCTCTACCATTCATAGAAGAGAGATGAATGGGTGTGGGTGGGGATGGGTGGATACAAGGGGGCAAGGGTGAGTTATTTTAGAGTGGCGATAGAGTGGGAGCATTGGGGTGAGAAGAACAGTAGCAGGGGAGATTGAGATAGGGATGCCAAAGAGGATTTGGGCAGCCAGCTTCAGTGAAGCAGAGCGCCAGAGAGAGAGAGAATTGTGGGAGAAAGGTGGTTGAAATGACGCACAGGAAGTGAGTGTAGACAGTTGATGGGAGGCAGAGAGAGGGAATGGAAAAAGAAGTGCAGGAAAGAAAAGGGGCAAAGGGAGAAAAGAAATTAATGTTCAGTGGGAGAGATCTGTCCCAATACAGGATGAGCATGAAGGAGGTAGCAAGGGGAGTGTGAGACATTCTCCTGCATGTCCTCCGTCTATGAATAGATGTTACGTGCCAAAAAAGCGTGCTGCCAGTTATGTCATGGCTGCTTAATAATGGAACAGCACTGATATCCACTTAGAACAGTGTATGTGTCTGTGAGTGTGTGTGTATTTTGCCACAGTGTTTGTGTGTGTAGAGCTTATGCGTGTGCATATGTTCCATTTAGAAGGAACAGCTCTGTGTTTTCTGTTAGGCTTTTGCATCCCATTCCTTTTTGCATGCTCAGATTCGTGCACCTGAGGTTTGGAGATGACGTCAGCGGGACACCCAGACCACAGTTAGGAGCAGGAAAACCTCAAAGACCCAGGACAAAATCCTACGGTTGAGTACAAAAACGTCTGTCCAAATAAATGGAGCTGATTCATAACCTAACCTCAAACCCTCATTACTGACTTTATTAAAATAAGTTTGGACAGTGAAAGCGGGAATTGCATTCACAGAAAGGATTTCCTCTGGTTGCCTGTGTCACTTTTCAGAGTGGCTCAGACGCAGCGATGCAGGTCATTAAGGAACTTTCCCTTGCTAGGCCAGACAACAGGAAAAGGCATTTCCTGCTACAGGGGAAGCAATGAAAGTACAGCACAACACTTTGAACATGAGGATGTGGAGGAGCCAGGGGAAATTCATGAGCTTGATTAATTGTCATTGTCACAAGTGTGTTGTGGTGACACTTTTACTGTCAGCAGATTTAAACAAAACTTTGAGAAAACACAGAGGACAGGAAAAAGGTTTTCCTCTCTCTGTGGCGCAGCATGACTCATTGCTAGAGTTGCACAAGTTCTCATAATTCCCTGCAGCTTGGTTCCTCATTATCAGTGCATTATAGAATTCCCGTGCTGTCAGTGACTTTGTGTGTTGAGTGTATGTACATGTGTATTGTGGAGGCTTTTGTTATCATTCAGGGAGGATGAAATTAACCACATTTGGCTTTGATCTTCCTCCTACTTACATATACTCCCATTTGTTCCCTAAGCCAGTGTAGAGCTTTATCTCAGGTAAACACTCAAAGACAAATTAATTTTCACCCACACAGACACTGAATCACACAAGCATCCGCACCACAAACACACATACACAGACAGACTTAGACACACATCACTGCTCCTCCTAGTTAATTTCTTGGAAGTGCTCTTGTTAAGAGGCCCGGAAACATCCGCTGATAGGAATCTGGTTCCTCTGGTGGGCTTTATTTTCCTTAGCTTTTACTGATAGAAAGGACACACTTTCCTTTCCCTCTGTCCCTCTCTCCCTCCCCCTTTTCTGCCCCTCTTGGTGAGCGACCGTCTGTGCTAATGCCAAAACAAAGAGCCACTTCCTTTTCATTCTATCTGCTCAGACTGGAAGGAAAACAGAGCTGAGGAGAAACAGACACTGTCACACATATATCGTATTAAAATGTACACATAGTTAGTCACTTGTGGGCCCAATTAGCTGTTCTCACATGCATACATACTTAAGATGCCACTATCACCAGCACTGGCAGACCAGTTCCTCTGAACTCTATCATCCACGTTAACTGATGGTTCCAGTCTATTAAAACTTTCATAGTCATTTTCATGAAATGAATCAAAAGTAAGTGCAGCATAAATGTTGGTAATACTCTGTTTGCCCATAACTAAAACAAGCATGGTAGGTCACAGAACGTAGAAACCTTTGTAATAACGTCACCATTCTCTTTTGGTTTGACTAACCTGGTTTTGTTAAAACTTGTATTTCATGCCTCATGTGACTTATTTTCAGCAGCATTGTTACCACCTCTCAGTAATGAACTTGGTAAATAAAATAAAACTAAATTAAGAAAATGGGTGATAAGAAACTGAAATGATATTTTAACCTGTGGGAGATTTTTTTTTTTTTTTTTTTTTTTGAACAGAAAGGGAAGGAAAAA